AGACATTAACATCGTTAGATACCGGCTCAGTGGTCTATCGGTTAGTGCGTTCGCGCACAATACCGAAGGTCCTGGGTCCGAATCTTACGGGGTGCAGGAGTCGTGGATGCGCACTGCTGAGGAGTCCCATAACAGGACGAAACGGCCGTCCAGTGCTTCCAGGTTTCTAATGGTGGTCTGAAATTGATCGGTTCATGGTTTTGAAAATGTGTAACTTAACAATCTTCACAACCCCGTAATGAAAATTAGATATCTTTATTGTCCATATGAATAACACTGGAAACAAGTAACAACTAACCTTACATCGTAAATGACAAGGTGGACACATTAGATTTGTCACAATATTACCATTATCTGAAATCAGTTTAACAGTCATTTTTCCACCGTTAATAGGACAATTAAAATTTTTCCGTTCAGTATTACTTCTAAACCAGTAGTATTTGAGCATTGAAACTGAGAAAACAATAAATTGAATAGATGAAAATACAACGTACAATCAATGTGAAACTTTTGTAACTGATGTTGAAGATATAAAGTTACTACGTCTTTGTAGTTTCAAATAGATTAAACATCTTGTAGACAGTTGATAATCAATATTTTAATAGGCTGAGTCAGATACATATATTGGTAGATATTCTATGAATTACAATCTCTGTGATTATGAGAAGCTTTGAGTGTGGTTAAGTGAGAGAAAATTGGAACTTTTTGTACATCAACACAAGAAAAATTACGCCAAGTACGGGAAGAACGATATACAATAAAGTAATTAAATATTTGGAAAATCTATTTCTATTTTCAGTTTTTCATCTCCTCTAATAAATGATTGAAATAAGTTTCTTGGTACCGAATACGACCAGTTATTTTATCGACTTACTTCCAAAAACCGTTGATTCATCAAAGAAAATCAATGTCTATGACGGTGATGTGCTCTTCAAATGAACTCACCAGTTATGTTCGCACGCTTGTTCTTGATAAATCGAAAGTAGCTGTATCATGCTTTGTACAGTAAAGCAAATAGATTTCTTGATGGTGGCAGAGAATCGTGATTCATTTGTAGGTCTTCATTCAGACCATTTAAATAATGTGGATACAGATGTACAATAAGGTTGATTTTCAAATTTAACACTACTGATTTCGTTAAATCCTAAACTGCATCATTACAACCACACACATTTTCTGAAGACATTCTAATTCCTGAATAAAAATAAACGAATCTGCTAGAGTACTTACATCGACAACCGAATTCAACCTCTGATCTGAGACGGTATGCGAATAAGACAGCCTACATCTTCCCAGATCAACAGTGTTAGGTTATTTATGTCAAACAAATAATGCTGTGACTTTTTTTTTATGTTGTTTAATGGCATGAAGGTGACGGTGCTAATTGTTAGATCCTAGATCTCTATCAGGTTAAGCTAATAAGGTTGAATCTATCTGGTCTAGATTGTTTGGTGCGCCACCGGACGAATAGTGTGATCGTTGTTCGATTTCTGTTAAGTTTATACTGTCAATTTCCTGATACAGTCTTCGAAATAGAAGCCTTGATTTGCTAGATATGTCTTTTACTACACGAGCCTATATCCACTTAAAAATATCGTACTATTCGCGATTACCGCACTTCTTCTCTTCAAAGGTCAATGTTAAGACAAAACATCTGAACCAGAAGAATTTCATATCTATCAATTATCAGCCTCAGAAAATCCTTAAGTAAATTCCCACATTTTCAGCTAAGACGCAACAATAATTACGTTCAGTTAGCTCGTAACAATATTTCTTGAAATCGGAGAAGGTAAAAACTAATTTGGTGTGATTTTCTCATTCAGAAAACATTTATTCAGCCTATATGAAGGGAGTGAGAAATTATGGCGTGTGAATCGCATAACGAATCTGACGTCAAACATCATCTACTTGAAAGTATACATGCCGTGAATACTTCAGACGCAACAATATATAAATGAGTATGATATACACCATTGTGCTATCTGATCGACAATCGACAATCTACTTGCGATTTCCGTTTACGAGCAATAACACGCATACATAATAAAATAATCAATAAGATAAGTTTGCATTTCACGCCCTGTGTAATCAATTTCTGACGTATGAAGGATTACTGTAAACAATTTTTCAACAATATCTCGTAAAATGATCAATTTTAATTTGTAACTGCATGTGAATTTGTATTTTTGAAAAAAAAGAATCAGTCATCAATTTACTTGAAAACAAGACGCAGTGTTCGATATCGTTGTAAAAGTGTAACGATATTGATGTTTTATTTCGGAATGTTCAAAGCAGGCGGAATCGTCACCAAAATATTCCAGTAAAATACTTCGCCTCAAATCTGTATCGAATAAGGTGAAGATTTTGTTAGTTATGATCATGATATAATTGGACATTTACCGATTTCATTTGCGACAAATAAAAATGAAACAATACACTGTGCAACTGGACAGCATTCAATTCTTATTAGTATTTTTGTTAAGAATGAATCGATGGTTAGTTATAAAGCCTCTGCGTCGACTCAGTCTGAGTCTTCAGACTATACTGCTAGCAAATAATAACCGTATAATATATTGTTTTTACAACTGAAAGTCTTATTATATCCGAGTTAATAATTATGATAAAACTAAGTTGAAATGATGGGGCTTATTGTTTAGTGAGTTGGATGTTTTGATTGTGGAGCTTTCATTGTTCTACTGTGATACTGTTAGTTTGTGAACTTCGTTTATCCCAAGTAAATGCAGTAGTGATGCTCAAAGTTCTTGCATATCTTTTGCATATTGTGTGTTCCTTATCTCATTTGAAAGGCTTTTTTGAGCATGTGATTTTGTCAGTTCTTGGGTAGAGTAGGCTGGATAGGCTGCTTTACGAATAAGTTTGCAAAAGAAATCGAACAGCAAACTATCATTCCTGGATGAACCTACCCACAGTACTGCCAAAAAATCTCATAGACTCAAGTTTTTCGGAAGCCGATGCAAGCCCATCCGATTATTGACTACAACAGCAGTAATCCGAGAAGTCACAATCAGTCAAACTCTACGACATCTCTTCGCTTATGGGAATATATATACGAACCACTATGAACATACGTTCTATTAGAACTATATTGATATACTGGAAAAGGGGAAGCACAACATAGACTTCTCATTATTTTAATTTGTCATAAAAAACATTTGTTACATAAGTTATCTAGATTTGAAATGAAAACACTTTTATCATCAATTATTGAAAAAAATGTACTGATATATAAAAGTGCATAATCATAATCAATTTTTGTATGAACAAACCTGATTGAATTTCTGTTTTGTCGTTGCAAAATAGGGCTTTGACGTTTGTAATACCATTCTCTCTATAAGTAAACAGTTTTACAGTTGATTTATTTAGAATATCGAAAGGCATTTTGTTTTTTTGTAAAATAAGATAATGAAATACAAATTATATTCAACAATCTTTTAAATTGTACAAATTTGAAATTTTGTCAGACGTTCAAATTGTTGTGTTGTTTTTTTGTAATCTTAATGATAAGTTTGAAATTTTTTGTAATCATATAACCTCCAAAATTTACGACTAAACGTCAGGTATGTAAGACTTTTTGAAAACTACATAGAAAACTGATAAACAGCACCTTGATCTAGAATTTACCATTTCTATTGCATTAAAATATGTTCCACCCTAGTTCTTTGAATTTCTCACATATTGGAAAATGAGATTTAGTGATCTTTATAATGTGGAAATATGGAAGGTATGAAAAATTTCGATTAGTTTATCAATGACTTCATTCAAAACATATTGAATTGAACACTATTATTAAAAGATATTTATAGAAGTTATCTCAGTTCAAATGTAATTTCAGCTGAAAGCAAAGTCACCTAATGGAAATTCATAGATTCTTTTTTATTTGTTCTGAATGTCTCTATCTTGCATAAGTGTGAACATTCCACAACATAGGCATATATGAAAGTGAAAAAAGGCTAAACAACAATGGTTCAATCACGGACAGTTGATGATAAAAACGAAGACTGAAATGATTAAAACTTGGTCAAAATATGAAATGCTATTTGGAGTAAATGCAAGAAAGAGATTTTCAATAAACAAAAGAAATGTCTCTTAATAATGCAGCAGATACAAGATAACTGCTTATTACGGAACATGTAAATCTGGTTACAAATATCTGGTAGTGATGACCGTTTTCAAATCCATCGAAGATATCGTTGAAACAACCCGAATATTTTTTGTTGTTGAAGAGATTTGTAGAAATGTCTCCTTTTGAAGTGCTTATTATTTGTAAAATGTTCAAATGTTAAGGTAAAGCCTCTTTCCTGCCAATGCAATATAGCTAGCTAATAAAATGCACGTTTTTTTATGACGTAATGAAAGACGACTGGGGAAGAATACTTATCAAATCGTTTATCACTAAATTGGTGATTTGTTTGCCGCATATGATTTGCCTGTTGCATTGTTTGATAGTCTTTTATAAGTAAATACAATGCGGAAAGCATGAAGATGAATGTAGTCAAAGATTTATTATCTTGTCTTCGGCCTGTAATTTAGACTTTTTAATATTAGACGTTTTATATTTCACAGTAGATTTTCAAGATCTCAGTTGATTTGAACTATTCAATTTTCAAACCAAGGTTTTATTAAAATTATTCATACTTGACTGGTATTGTAAGAAAATTAAGTAAGATAAATAATTTGAGGTCAGTATCCATTCACTTCTTTGCATGATGACACTAAAATTTTGTTCATCTTTTTAAAGTCAAAACAAATATGTTGGAAAAATATTTAAACTTGGAAAACGATAATATTCATATTGAGTACGACACTGCATGGCATTGATTCTACAACGATGAAGGATTATGAAATAATTTGAATTTTTGTCGATTCCATTTTTCGTCTGAATACATGTTTATAAAATATTGTTTTATTTATCTTTTACCAATTAAAACATTTCAATATTTGAACTAAGTATAATTTATTTAACTTTTTAGGGGACTTACAGTTAATACTGAACAATAATCCAGTTCTTTTGAAACGGCATACATCGGATGCTTTTCACAAATTCCATATGAATTTTCATAATTCGAACATTTTTTTACATAATTAGAAGTTTCACAGATTGGTTGGATATCTTGTCCACTAAAAAACAAAGATCTATTTGTCAAGAAATGAAAGATTTGTCAACTTCTAAAGTAGCACAATACTCAGCATTAAGATAACTTTTCAGTATTTTTCTGAAAACAAAAGAACGTTCGTTTCATACAGTAGCTGACAACAGAATTTTTACATTGTTTCTAATCAAAAAGTGTGAAGTATTGCTCAAACTGTGGGTCATATTATAGAGACACGTTTCTAGTTAAGTTACGTAACATCATAGATTTTGTTGTTTTATCTCAAGATACGTTATTGCATTGTACAATAATCATTAGAAATCGAATCCATGACAAAGCAGTTTCAAGTTTCATATCTGTTGACGAGCACTTTGGAAATAACAGTTAAACAAATTTTCTCATGATCGATTGTTCATCTCAAAATCAGGTACTCTTCTGATTTATTAAATAATTGAAGTTAAGAAGCATTTACACTGGATAATTAGCTGAGATGATGATCTTTACCATTTTGTTTAAAAGTACCTGTTGTATTCAGTGACTTTTTTCAAACTAGGTTTAATTGTACAAGTACAAAGTAAGTCGGCATTTCCTACTCTTGATATCAGTTTTCGTCTGTCACTGTATCACGGTAGTTAAGAGGCATCAGAAGAAACTGTGACCAAAATTTGGTGGTATTTTGCACTCTGCAACTACGTGTATCAGTAAGTTGAAAAAATCACTATTTCGATCTCGTGCTACCAATCTTCACGAATGGTGAATTCGTATCGAGTTGATTATGCCAAAGCTGTCGTCACGCCAGACTGGGGTGAATTGATGATCAATCAATAGTCACTTTCACTTATTACTCTTAAGATCAATTCATGATATTGATTTTCTTAAATTTAAATGAAAAACATCAATGAGGCTGTTTTTTTAAAATGAAGTAGAATGCGACAGTTTAATTGAAGCTACTCCGAGTGATCTACCCTATAAATTATCTACTGTAACTGTTGTATTACTGAAATTTAGATATTAGTTTGGGTACTGAAAATCAAAAGTATACTTTTTACACTTCAGAAATGAACAAAAAATCAAATTATCAAACTATGAACTATTCGATATAATAATTCAGCAATCTCAGATCTACCTCACCTCAGTTTTCGATTTCGAATAAATTCGAAGCAGCTTTTCATTACAAAATCACATCCCAGTCCTTTTCCCCATTTGAAGTCATCAGCCATAGAATAGTCTACATCATACATCCTCAAATTAATGGAAATACACAAACGCCAGTTACATGATAATAATGATATCACGTTATAAAAATTTAGTTTCATGCAATGTATAGCATGTTTTGACGCCATCTCTTCATTTATATAACTTTCTACAACATACTTTTTAGATAAAACTTAAGAAAAGAACGTTTATCTCGTGATGTATTTTGAAATATTTTTTTCGTTGTAGCAGATAGTGTAACAGTTTCAACCAACTTAACGTATGGTTAATATTGGTCGGTTTGAAGACCTTATCCGATAAACAACTAACTGACTGAGAAATGCTTACTGGGATATATTATGTTAACGATTTAAACTGTGCACTGAAAGTAACAAGAACTTTTTTCACATGAGTAATGACTTTTCATGATAAAAGCCGAGTTCGTTTGGCACACTTGAGGCTAATGACCCTATCTGATAGTCATTGCGGCAATTCGTTCAGGTTCATTGAATGCTCGAACCTTGTGAGACATTGGAGTACTATTCTCGGTTGCCATGAAAATCAAAAGATTCAATCTGAAAAGGCTTGGAATCAGTGAAACGCATTGGACATAGGTTTGACAACAGAGATCAGCTTCAAGATATCTGCTGTCAAACCGCATCCAGGAAGGAAATACCTGAAAAGCATAAGTAGGTGCACTTATTCTGTTCGAATAAGCATGAAAGACACTGATAGGATTGAAATCTCATGGGGCTAAGGTCACCAATGCATCGTTCAAAACTAGGAAGGTGGGACTTTAATTTGGTTCATTTAATGCTATGCACCCACCAGCGACAACGATGAAGATATCGCATATCAATTCTACAAGAGGTTGCAGTCAATCGTCGACTGATACTAATCAAAGAATTAGACAATTCTCATGAGAGAACAAACTGCCACGGTCGTCAATGACAACATTTTACATGAAGATATCATGAGGAGAAGTGGACTGCGAGAACAAACATAACTTTTGAGCGATTTGCGAACTTATCTGCCCTTATCCAACTGGTAATTGGCTGCACAAGTTCCAACTCAAAGCTACATGGATTTCATGGGACTGTTCTATACATAATCAAGTTAACCATGTAGGTATCAGTAAAACGTTTTGCAGCATCATGAGGGTCTTGATAAATTAACGAGGTGCTGATGTAGATTCAGATCATCAAATGCTGGTCGCCATAACGAAAGTTTACTAAATGAAGATGAAATTACTACGCAGCACAATTGAGAAGCGATCAAGGAGACAATTACTTCAATATGTCAGGAGGTTTTGGTCACAAACATTAGTATCACAAGGAATGAATCATTGTTCCTAATCTTGGAAAAAAATTGAAGCCATGAGAAACAAGAAGACAAAACTGAATCTCAGCTAAACAGGGGCAAATATTGTCAGTGAATGAGCTGAAAATACAGAAGCAAATAAGCAGCTGAGACAAGCCTCAGAACCGACAAAAACATATATCCGTTAAATATCAAGCAATGAAAGTGGGAATAGATGTAAGCGAAGAAAACGTGAGACAGTTAAGCGATTCAACAAAGAGGTTTGCTTGAAATTGTCTCGATCGAAAAAGGTCTGTAGAAATGATGCAGGTGAGCAACATTGAAAACATCAGAACAAGTGAAAAATGAACTTCAGAGAACTTTCAAATCAGTCCGCCCCAATGAATCAACATAATATTGAAGCCTTATCCTTGCTCCTCGCAATCAATGTCAGTCCACGCACAAAAGGCGATCTCTGCGAGGGTGAGAAATAGAGAGGCATCATTCTTCTATCGATATCAGACCAAGCCTTCAACAGAGATTAGTTTCACACGATGAAAGACTTCGTAGACGCCTAACTATGAGATCAACAGACTGTGTTTTGTGTAGATCAGTCGTGTACCGACCGAGTGCCATTATTATTATTATCAATGTGGAACAATCGTATGAATGAAATCCATCACTCCACACCAACTTCACTGACTAAGAGAAGTCATTTGATGGCATAAACAGGACGACATTACGGCGTGCCTGAGAAGATAGTCAACAAAATGCCGAGTAATTATGATGAATTAAACTGTTATGCCATGCACGGACAACATGTCACAATTTGCTCAAATTATAGGCCGGTGTTAGGAAAAGTCTCTTGCACTCTTTCTTCCTCTTTCTCTTGGTGATGAAGAAGACGTCAACCTCTTGAGAGAAACTCAAATGACAGTGGACAGTCAGCACGCAGCTGGAAGAACTTGACTTCTCAGCTGACCTGGATCTTCTATCGCACAAGCGACAAATAATGCAAGAGAATACTACCAGTGAAGTAAAAGTTTCAGCAGCAGTATGTCTCAACATACATCAATAGAAAAGCAAGATAGTCAATACATGAGCCCACCAAATCACATTCGAAAGAGATGCCTTGAATGATAAAAATTCATTGATATTGTACACTCATATTATGTGTTGTTATTAGCCTAACTGTATGCAAAATGATCCTTGATGAACGCATCTAGTACGAATCTGTTTGAAAGCTGCAAAGCTTTAGAGGTAATGAAGGACAAAGCTTTCTATTTTTGTTGCTGTGTATGAAGAAACCCACCTGATGTTTAACACAATCTGCAATACTCTATCCAACGATTGACAATCTAAACATTCATGTCGTATGTGCTTTTTTTAAATCTTGCCTTGTTCACCTGATTTGCCACTGGATAATTTCCACAGAAAATTTCTTAACTCAACATTCATTTTTACAATCAGCTATGAATTTCGATTTTGCAACGGTTTTACAACTTTTTGTAAATAGCATCATATATGATCTATTTCCGGCTGCTGTAAATTTGTGTGCAATTTGAGTTTGTATACTTTACTCCTCATTTTATTTACACAAAATCAGAAATAATCATGTAAATATACATTATATAAATATTTATATATTGAAAAATATTCCTTGTTCTGGAGAGTATAGATGATGTTTGAATACTTTGTAGTTTAGAAACAGCCAAATAGAAAGTAAATTTGAACAAATAAATTTGATGATCAGATAACAGGTGTGGATTTCAATATCATTTGCGTCGCACTGTCAAGTGCTGCGGCAGTCACAATAAGTTTGTTGTCTAAGGTAAATTCATTTATATATTAAACAGATCTGAAATTTTATTCATATATTATCATTAAAATTTTATCCTTATTACCCTTATCAGCCTCCACATTGCAACTAACTGATCTGCGGTTTGGTAATGTGACGGCTGCCTGTATTCAGAAACCCTTATTCCTTGAAACAAACGTTTAATTCAAATCCCGAAACATACAAACCCACAAACAACTGCCAACTGACTACAATTAGACAGTCGAGTGGCTATAGCTCCATCCATTTGACACTACGGAACACCTGGAACTGTAGTGAACGAGAAAGAATCGAGCTGGTGAAAAATATATTGAATATTGGAAACCTATTGAATATAATCATTGTTCATAAGTTTACTGTTTACCTATGCTCAACTTACTTTGTGTACTTGAAGTAAGCCAGAGTTATTCTTGAAACAACAGATCCTTTTCGTGCATAGTTTGTCATCAAATCATTCTGAAAACCAAAGATTTTTTATAGAAAAATATTGTTATTTAATTTAAATCGAACTTATAGTTTTGAAACTATTATTTGTGAATTTGTTTTCTTTTTCTGTCGAAAAAATTTCTCAGTGAAATTTCTGATATGATAATTCTTGATTTTAAATATAACTAGGATATCGGTTCACAGTGGATATCTCAATGCTGAAACGTTGCTTCATTGAACAAGAATCAGCTTTATATATATATCGACTGATTAGCTTCCCTATTCAG